TATATATATATATATATATATATATATATATATATATATATATATATATGCATGGGTATAAATATTTTGTTGTGTATTGTGTGTATACGTATGTGTTTTTGAACATAGAAATATACGTCCTTGCTAGATTAGATAATCGTTATATTTGTTTTTTTATATGTTTATATTTGTTTTTTATAAGTTTATATTTTATTTGTAGCCTGTAGTCGACATTCATTTTGTCAAATTTTCTTGATTACACAGCGGCCCTTTTATAAATGCCTTTCGGTTTTAGTTCCCCGCCCCATCCATCTCACCCACCCGTTTTTCTTTTCTTTTCTTTTCCTCTGTCTCTCTCATCGTCTGATCTTTAAGATTATATCGTATATTGTGTGAGTATGTCACCACAAAATTCCGGTTACATCTTTAATGTATTAGACATCCGAGAACATTCATATTTCTTTCACTTAAACCGTCTTTAACTCCCCTCTTTAAAACATCTCTCTGTTAAATTTTAATCCCCTCTTCACCTTTAGACCTTCCTGTTCTTCTCTTGTTCTTCTCTCGTCTGTTACCCCTCCCTATAGCTTTCATTTACTCTAACATTCGTCCCACACTCTCATACATACATTCTCACTAAATTTTATTTTTTATTCCCGGAGTTGTTTTTTCTGTTTTCTTTTTGAATTTGTAGGTCTGATGAATTGGATCGTATTTACGATTCCAATGGAATAAATTATGACCATGGAATATTAGTGTTTAAGCCTTTACATATATATAATTTAAAATTTGTGCATTTAGGAAGCAATCCTTTTCTCATGCACATTTCACTGAATACGATAGACAAGCTGCTTTGATTTAGTTTTTTATACAATTTCTCATGCGATCTAATGTTTTACTTTTCAGATGATATATAGATGATAGATGATATTATATAAAAACTGTTTGAATGTTCTTTTAATCTGAGCGCTTTAACAGCTAAAATATTTATATAACAGTTAAAACATTTCATCCTTGAATATGGTTAAATTTATAGCCGAAAGCGCTCGGATTGCATATATATATATATATATATATATATATATATATATATATATATATATATATATATATATATATATACGTAAATCTATTTAAACTCGATGGGTGAAAACAACTGGACAGCACATTTTTTAAATAAATTGACATTTGGAAAAATGGAAAAAAAAGAAGGCAACAGAAACCATCGAACATGGCGAAAGAAATCGTCCAGTACCTTAAATCTATGGTACAAAGAAAACAAAACCCAGCGAGTAATAAATTAAAACGAAGTGTTCTCGATATACTAAGTAGAGTAAAAGTAAATAAAAAAAAATCCTACTTACGTTTTACCACATTGGATCATCAGTGTGAACTATATATATATATATATATATATATATATATATGAATGAAGACAAAAACTCTTTTGTACCAAAGCATTTCGTCGCGTTATCAAGGTGTTGTTTTTTTATTTTCTTATTTGTTTATATATAATTATTTATTTACTTATTTTTTAATGTAATTATTTATTATTTTGCTTTAATTTGATAAATCGTTTCTGTATTCATTTTTATTAATAGAAGGTTTTGATTCAATCAATTCCTTTCATTTTTTTTTTTTTTAAATATCCATGGTCATGCATGTTGGCTTGGGAGAGGAGAGTTAAAATGTGTGTGAACCTAACATTATAGTTTAATTCTGTTTATAAATACATGTTACAAAATAAAGTCCTTACATTCGCCTCGATAAATTCTATCAGAGGATGAAACGCGTTGGTAAAGAAAAATTTCCATTTGTCAACATTCATATTTTTTTCACATATATATTTTATTTATATCTGAATTTTTACGCACTCGAGCACACACACACACACACACACACACACACACATATATATATATATATATATATATATATATATATATATATTATTTAGTCAGTACACGTGATTGAGTAGATATGTCTGTTTTCTTTTCTCAGACATCGATATTAATATCTGCAGGCTTGTGCAATCGAAAATCTTTTTAAATATCTTTCTTTTTTGTAATTTCTTTTATTCTTTTTAGCATTTTTTCTTTTTTTATTTATTTAATCTTTTTTTTTTCGCTTGTTTTTTTTTTTATTTATTTATACAGTCATTTTACTTTTTTCTTCGTTTTCTTGTTATTCTTTATTTTCTGCCAACTTTTCTTCCTACACATAATTGCAGACGTCAGCCAAAATCATACGTTGAAATCTTGCCTGTTTTCTTCTTCTGTGATAATTTTGGTAACTCGACTTCGTCTTCCTCGGCCATTTGTCTTCTGTTGTACTTTTTGTCTGTAGTAACTTTTCTAACTCTTTACCCAGCAATCCAGATATATTCTGATTATTTTTTTGTAGAACTACACATGGTCACGAAAACCAATTAATATCTTGTAAGATTGTGTTACAGAAACTCTTAATCTTTCTTCGACTCTTCTGTTTACTTATGCGTGTCAGTAGCCATTAGTATCTTACTGTTTTCTCTCAGCTTTCTTTTTCAGGCTACCAAACACGTTAGTTCAAAAGTGATCTTCTTCTTTTACATACTGTCTCCCTTCGTAGACGATCATGTCTTCCACGCCTTTTTACTGTCCCCTGTAGCTCTTAATAAGTTTTGTCTTTTTGTTCTTTCTCCCAAACCCTGTTCTAACATACATTTACTCAAGCTCATAGAGTATATTACGGATTACTTTCTTCTGTCTCCCATTTCTTCAATCTATCCTGTGAGTATCAGATTTTCCAAGCCCTCCTTCCTCCTTATGTGTCCCCGAAACTGCCTCTTCCTGATGTTAAGTATGTTTCCTTTTTCTTTCCATTTTCTCCAAAACCACGTATTTGCTCACATGTTTGTTCTATGGAATCCTCAGCTTCTTTCTTTAGAACAATATTTCTGTTGCCTCAAGTCTCTTCTTCATCGGTGAGGCGATCGCCCCGCATTTGCTGCCATACAGGAGGAGAGATATCACGTAATAGTTCAATAGTCTTTTCTTTGTTTTTGTCTCTTAATACTCAGCTTTTGGGATGCATCTTTGCCTATTCCAATATGTCTTCGGATCTCAGTGTCACACTTACTCTTTTTAGTTCTTCTCCTTAGCTATGTGAAAGAAAAATAGGTCTTGAATCTCTTTCATTCTATGACGAATGCACAAATTCTCTTTTTCTCTACTTTTCCCGTCTGAAACGACAAAACGGCGGTTTTATTTGCTTCTTATTTCATTTTTTTGAAGTCCTCAAGGAAGACGAGATGACTCGGCCGCACCTTGATTACGGCGACGTGATACGTTAAACAACTTCTGAAGATTGTCTTTCTAAGAGGGAATATACTCAAAACATTGACGTGATGTATGATCTCGCAGAAAGTTCAAATCGCTTGTTAGGGCAGGAGTGAGCAAACTAAGGTCTGCAATCCGCATATGGCCCCACCTGATAATTTTATGCTGTTCATATGAGCGCAAAAAAAACATTATATTTTAAATGTCAGTTAAAAAATATTCTGGTACGTTTTATTACATGTTCGGCAAACTAAAACAGGAACAAAGAAAACAAAAACAGAAGTCATTTATATTTAATAGCAAACCCCCGTTTTCCTGCTACATCGAATTTGGTTTGGGCTACTGTTGCTTCTGGTGGTTCAAAACCACGCTTGATGTTCATTGAAGGAATGAAATTGAATCGTAGAGTTTACCAGTAAATATCGGAGGGAGATGTGTTGATCTGGTTGCCAGTTATATTTGAAAGTCGTTATGTATTCACTCTAAACGGGTTTCCTGCGCACGCAGTCTTTTTGACGCAAAATATGCAAGAGACATTTCCGTGGAATTGGCCTCCATCAAGTCCTGATATTAATCCTATGGTCTTTGCGATATGGCCCATATCATACTCAATTGTCACATAACTGGAAAAAGACTGTTATGAAGTTGTGGTACAATTTTATCGAAGGTGTGATAAAGTTCAGTTTAGAGATTAAGGGCTATGAGAAATGGTGTCATGAAGTTCAGTTTAGAGATTAAGGGCTATGAGAAAAGGAAAGGGGACATTTTAAATGATAAATATATGTAATTTATTCTCAATAAATATAGAAATCATCCTGGGAACTTCCATTAACCAAAACCTAAAAGCGTTTTTTTTATTTTATTTTATGATAGCTGTCTATATTTCTGCCTATATTTCTGAGATGAGGTACACTATTTATATTATTCGGACTATTTTCCTCATATTTGTTGCCATATTTCTCACAACATTTTGACCGTTGTACGCTCCGACCTTCTTCAGGTGGTTTGAATGTTGAACTGAACCCTTTATTTCGCTCGCTGGGGTAGACTGTTCTAATTCCACGTGCCATGTCTAATGGATGTCAGTTATCAGTTATCTCCTGTTAATTCCCCTCTTTAAGTTCTCCACTGCCTTAACCAGGTATTGATCCTTAAGGACACATAACACAGCGGATAAAGGCGTTGGTTAGATCCAGTGACAGGACCAAAAAAGTTGTGAGTTCAATACCTGGTTAAGACAAAGATTACTAAGAGATACAAAAGATAGGAAGTTGTGGAGAACTATGGCCACCCAAATTGTGAAGGGACACTTTATACAGAAGATAAGATAGACAAATGTTGTTTTAATACAGGTACGGATGGGTTAAATTTCTTTGAATGAAAAAAGTCCTATTTTCAACGCGAAGCTAAATTCTATATCAACTTCATGTGACATTTATTTAAAGATAACAAAAATACACACGTCATAACTGTCTACACATGAACATTCAGATATGTTCCCTTGAAAACGATCAATAACAATCGAAACTACAGATTTCGACATTCAATTTGGGCCAGTCCTTTGCAAGTTTCCACGAATCATAATTCGATTAATTTGACACCAGGAGAATTTCAGCAAAACTCTAGGCATACATTGTCTGTACTGTTTAACAGGACACACATATATATGCACACATGTGCACAAACGCATATACACATACACACACGGGTAGATAGATAGATAGATAGATAGAACAGACTTAGATAGATACGATAGATAGATAGGTAAGAACAGACTGCAATAGATAGGTAGATAATAAGAAAATTGATGACAAATTGGAAAATATTTTCGTATGACGTGTTTCGTCCTTTTAGGCAATTGTCCTTGTTTGCCATAATAAATTAAAGATACACACACACACACACACACACACATACTTATATATATAGACCTGGCTTCTTTAGTATTTCCCCTTTTCTAGCGAGATTAATGCTCGACAAGCGTACATATAAATTTTAGATCAAAATAGAATTCTTTTCATTTTTCATTTTTCATTCAAAACAGTTTTCAGAAAAAACAGAAGATATCGATTGACGTTGCATTTAAATTTTTGATGATTGTAGGTAGCAGGCAAAGGAGAAATCGAAAGAGAGTCGAACAGGCGGGAAATACTGGAAAAGAAACCCATTAGAATACAGTTGCATCAAATCTATTTCAACAGTAAAGTAATGAGACTTAGTTGTCAATCTGGTAGTATGCTCAAATTTATGCGGTCAATGTACCAAGGATGTGAGCTCATTAGAACAACAGCCATGAAAATATTTATAGAAAAGATAAAATGAAGCCACATCACCGCAATGACTGAAACCGAAATGCCAGGTAAGGACCGATAACATTGCAGATTCTTCTTCGGATTTTGTCGGGAATTTCAAGACCAGATATGGCAGCAATATTCAATGCACAGATGACTGGAAGATTTATAAATGTGCAAAATGCATTCTGATGAGATGTAATATAAACGGATCAGTAGCTAATGTGAGAAGTGAGTCAAGCGTATAATATGATTCAGAAGATACGGCTGCTGTATCAGTTGATCAGAGGTTAGCTTATAAAGAATCAGATGTTGTCAGCTGTTTTGAGTATATATTAAGAACTTGCAATACATCTTTATAGTAAAAACCACTAGCAATATATCTCTATAGGAAAAACTGATTACAATGCATTACTATAGTAAAAACCGCTTGCAAGGAAACTCTACAGTAAAAACCACTACCAATATAGCTCTAGGAAAAAAACACTTGCAATGCATTCCTATAGTAAAAACTACGTGCAATGCATCTCTATAGTAAAAACTACTTGCAATGCATATCTATAGTAAAAATCATTTGCAGTGCATATCTATAGTAATAACTTGCAATACATCTTTATAGTAAAAATCATTTGCATTGGATCTCTATAGCAAAAACCAAATAGAATGAATTCCTATATTAAAACCACATATAATGCATATCTATAGTAAAGATCACTTACAAAGCATCACTATAATAATAAAAATCACTCGCAATGCATATCTATAGTAAAAGACACTTACAATGCAAATCTATAGTAAAAACCACTCACAAAGCATCTCTACAGTTAAAAACACATACAAAGTATCCCTATAGTAAAAATCACGTACAAAATATATCTATAGTAAAAACCACTTTCAAAACATATCTACAGTAAAAACCACATAGAATGCTTTCCTTTAGAAAACCACACGCAATGAATCTCTATAATAAAAATCACTTACAATGCATCTCTATAGCAAAAACTACTTACAAAGCATCTTTATAGTAAAAACACATACAAAGCAGCTCTATAGTAAAAATCACTTACAAAACATATCTATAGTAAAAACCGCTTACAATGCATCTCTACAGTAACACCACGTAGAATGCATTCCTATAGAAAATATATGCATTGGGTCTCTATAACAAAAACCACTTACAATGCATTCCTATACTAAAAACCACTTGCAATGCATTCTTATAGTAATATCATTGGCAATGCATTCCTATAGTAAAAGTTACTTACTACGCGTTCCCATAGTAACAATCACTGACAATACATTCATATAATAAAAAGCACTGGAAATGCATCTCTATAGTAAAATATACCACAATATATTTAACTATTTCTCCACATGTATAGTCCGGTGTTCCGTCGAAGTTAAAATCCAAGATTTCTAACGCCAAGCTTCCCATTCATTTCCACCTTATTTGGTCATGTGCCGTGTAAAGCTCAACCTAGTAGTGCTCCCCACCCACCATCACACACAATGTAAGTGCATGCGATACTGTTTTGTAAATAACTTGTAGTGAATTCATTCATAAAAGATTGCTTCTGTTTTCTACGGCTTATCAAACTTTTGCAGTTTATTTAAAGCCAGAAGATATTTGTAAGAATTTTTTGGTGGGGAGATGATTTAATGATACAAGTATTACTAATTAACCCATAGCCGTGAAGAGAAGAAATTAACTCATAACTTTCCCAAGGGAATATAACGAACGCAACAAGACTTAGAACACTGCTCTCCGTTTAACATTTCCGAGTCGTTATCTACACCAGCCGCACATCCAAACTTACAGTACCTGGTATTCCAAAGCAGTCACACTTCAGGTTCGACGCTAGTTCATTTCGGTGATTGTACCGGAACCGATGTTTCAACCTGATATGGCCATAAGCCATGGCAAATAATTAAAAAAAAAAAAGAAATTTAGAAATATATCATAAATTAGTGCTAGATCCATCATCTTCACCTCGGAAATAAACGAATAACGTCGTCGTTAATTTATTCCAGCCACTAGAAGACGGTTGTGTATACATGCTTCCAATGCATTTCCTCATTTTCTTTTCTTTATTTTCAATACATTTTCGATGCATATAACAGGCTGACACGTAATCTTGAACCAAGTATAGAGCTTTGGTACCAACAAAGGAAACCAAATAAAAATTCTAGTATAGTAACCGTTATTTTTCGACGCATATACCCTGACAGGCAGATACTTACGCTTGAACCAAGAAGAAAGCTATTTCACTTAACCTGTGATTTGGCACCGACAAAGGATGCCAAGTAAATGATATTATCTATACTAGCATTGTGCCTGTCAAGAATTACGAGTTTAATATATAGGTTGGCATATCTCTTTAGGATCAAATTATCTGTGCTCTGCCAAGGATCAAAGTACAGCTTCCAGGCATTTCTGCTTCGGTTGACTGTAATATCAGTTTAATGTGGTCTGTCTTGCGGCTAAAGTAATTCCAACTTGTGCCAGAGAGCAGCGTTTGGACCTAGGCAAAAGTCCAGGATTGAATATGCGTTCAAACAGAAAACTGCTCCTCCCCATTAGGAAGACTGGTGTAACACACTCTTCCTGCCTTCACTGATTTTAGATTTATCCATATTTAAGCTAAGTTAAAATACTTACTCAAAGAAAGAAAGAAAAAGGAAAGCATTCTCCTTCATCTTCGTGTATTGTGTCTTCTCAGTGTTGATAATGGCTCGCCACCATCTCCTGTTCTTTGTAGCTCTTAATAAATTCTGTCTTTTTGTTATTTCTCCTAAACCATGTTCCGCCATCTATTTAATCAAGCTCACTAAATATGTCATGCGTTGTTTTTCTTTGTCCCTCTTGCCTTCAAAATGTCCTGTGTCCAAGCCATCTTTCCTCATTACGTACCCTAGAAATTTCATCTGCCACTTCCTGTTGTTAAGTATAAGTTTCTTTTTGCTTCCATTTTCACCAAAACTTCGCCGTTGCTCACATAATCGGTCCATGGTATCCTCAGCATCCTTCAGTAGGGCCATGTTTCAGTTGCATCAAGTCTTTTATTTATCTTTGTGGAGACTGCCCAGCACTCGCTGCCATACGCGAGGACAGATATCACGTAACAGTTTAGTATTTTTTTCCTTGATTCTAATGAAGTTTTTTCTATTTCTTAATACTCTGCCTAACGTTTGGAATGAATCTTTGGCTATACCAATTTGCCTTCGGATTTCAGAGTCGCACTTTCCGTCCTCTGCTAAATATTGGGTTAGTGTATAATTATCAGGCGTTTTTTAAACAAGAAACATAACAATTTAACAATAACATTTCTAAATGATTATTCCGGAGTGTATTGATTATGGACACGCATCTTTATAACATGAATATAAAATAATATTTTTATTTAAAAAAAGTAAACAAAACAGTAATTTTTCTTAACAAATAACGTCTACAAAAACGCCTGATAATTATGCACCAACGTAATATTTATTTTTTTTTACTTGTCTGATTTTGGTATCCTTTGATTTTCAATTCGCCCTTAGGGCTGCCACTTTTGCTAACAACCATGCATTATGTCTTCTTGGCACTTAATATTTTATCGGATTTCCTTCACTACCTTCTGTAGGAGTTTTTGAAGTTTTCTATCTGTGTCTGCTATCAACACTGTCACATCTGCATATATGTTGTTAAGATTATGACCGCCAATAATGAATCCTGAGAGGACTGCTAATTCTCTCAGAATCGCCTCGATGTAAGGGTTGAATAAGTGAGAAGACACATCCTTGTCTTACCGCACTTACTGTTTTTGTATATCTGCCGAACTCAGTTTCTGTTCGTATGCAGGGAGTTTGCTGCCAGTGTATGTTCTAAAAGTCAAGCGTTATAGCTACGGCACTTGGAAATTCTTACCTTTCACGTTTAGAACCCACGATGAGATAAAATGTTGTGTTAAAATGCTTACTCTTATTATTTTTAATGAAGAAATGTTGAAGAGGTTTGTTGTAATGTTGTCTAAATTTTGGTTGTTGAAGTATCAAACAATGAAATATTTTGATTAACGTCACTTTTAATTTATTTTTTACCAAGCCATATTAAACTGATATGTCTTTGGCCTTCACGGTACCAGAATACCCTCATAAAAATTTGTACTCTTTTGTGATTATTTGTTATATATATATATATATATATATATATATATATATATATATATATATATATATAACCTAACACTAGCGAATAAGTTATTTTAAACTTAATTTATCGAAAATAAGAAAATCCGCAATGAATTGTTGATGCCACCTGACGAGTGGACACAGCGATTACAAAAAGGTTCGTCTACGTAACTCCAGAGCCGAGATGCTGAATATGACATCAGTCAGCTAAATGACAATTTTTATTTGTATTAATCACTCATGTATATATATATATATATATGTGTGTGTGTGTGTGTATTCACAAACCGAAATAAGATCTATTGATATGATTACGTGTTTCGACATTTTTAGATAGGCTTCCTCGGTGTGTACGTTTGTATGCTTCAATAGTAAAGGCTTAATACTTTTTCGCTAAGCTGATGTCTCTCAGTCGGAATGAAAAAACAACACTGTGTGACTTTTGTATAAAAGGCACTATTTCCATTTATTCTATTTTCTTCTCAGTCATTTTGTTTTGTCGAAACTGAAAAAATACTGAATTGAATTTACAGTAAATCCCTACGCAATTTTTCGGAATGTGTTTAAAGTAAATGATTCACAGAGATTGTCTGCTTTGAAATTAAACTAAATTCTTAACCATTTATTCCGAACGAGTTGAAAGTAAAAGATTCACTCAACTTTTCTACATTGAAATTAAGCTAAATCATTATCCAGTTATTCGGCATGGGGTTGAAAGTAAAATATTCATATATATAATTTTGGAGATTTAGGCAAATCTTCATAGTAATTCATCGAGTCTTTAAGAATCCTCAACAGAAACCACTGGGCGGCCGTTTCGTCCTGTTTTGGGACTCATCAGCAGTGCGTATCTACTACCGGGATTCGAACCCGTGCCATTTCTTTTCCCCCGAACCGCTCCATCGCAGAGTATTAGCTGGGTCAAGCAAGGATATACAAGTAAATGAATTAATTCTATTAGTTGTATATCCTTGCTATTTACAAGTAATAGAATTAATTCTATTACTTGTATATGAATGATATGCTCTGTAACCTTCTACCTTGAGTTGCTCTTGGGCTTTGTATTGGGTGAACGATAAATAAAAAGATATAAACATATAAAAATTTAAAAATGAAGAGGCTTCAAAAGATGAATGATATGCTCTGTAAGCCTCTACCCTGAGTTGCTCCTGAGCCTTGTATTGGCTGAACGATTAGTGTAAAAAGATATAAACAGATAAAAATTTAAAAAAGAAGAGCCTTCAAAAGATGAATAATATACTTTGTAACCCTCTACATTGAGTTTCTCTTGGGCCTTGTATTGGCTAAACGATTAGTATAAAAAGATATAAACAGACAAAATTTTTAAAAAGAAGAGCCTTCAAAAGATGAATGGTATACGCTGTAACCCTCTACCTTGAGAGGCTCTTGGGCCTTGTATTGGCTAAACCATTAGTATAAAAGGATATAAACAGCCAAAAATTTAAGAAAGAAAAGGCTTCAAAAGATGAATGATATACCCTGTAACCATCTACCTTGAGTGGCTCTTGGGACTTGAATAGCGTGAACTTTATTGTAAAAAGAAACACTTTTAACTGCTCTGAATTCAAAACTGTAACTATAGATTTAACTTGTCAGCTATGGTCATATTCGACATACATCATGTATGTATTTATTTGCCCCCCCCCACAGGTTGTGACAAAACCATGTATATATGTCGTATCTACAGATATACATGTTGCATACATACTATCATGATGATAACTGTCGACACACTAATTGAATATGACTATTTCTAACACATTAAACTTACTCAAAAAAGCTAAGTAGTCCACATACAAGCCTAAGCAAGACATCTGCATATGCATATACATGTGTACATACGTACATAGACCCTCATTCTTATAATCCATTCATGCAACCATCCTAAGGATATACGGTGAACTTTTTGCCACCATGTTATTCAGGTTACCTGTCATAACAGAGTCAGACTCGACCAGGTCGCAAGTGAATTTCCAAACTGATCGGATATCGATACCACATCTTCGCGTCAATCATATGAGCTATGGGAAGTGATTACTGACGCGAGGCTAATGGTGTCATAAAAGAGATCGATACCTGACAGCTCTGGCCGATCGATATGAATTTGAAATAGATTCTCTTTTAAAACAAAAAAATTTCGATGCCAATAAGTGTTTACGTATTCTCCTATTCTGATATCTGTAGAGAAAGAAATGTCTGCTACAGGAGACATGGTGGGTTAATGGTTGGCGACTCGGACTGAGGAATCGGAGAGCCGAGTTCGAATTCCAGTCGCGTTCATTACATTCATTTGGGAAAGGTATAAATACGTCACTTCTCCCTCCAGTTATGGATAAAATAGCAGAACAATTGGGTTATATAGCTTTGGGTGGCAACCACTCTAGGAGACGAAAACTCTGAACTCAAACCAGCTTACTGTATTAGCAGGTCCTGCCTTTTTAGGCAGAGGCTAGAAGAAGGTAACTCCAAAGACAAATCCACCTCGCATGTCATCTCGAAGAAAGGAAATGCATCCGCCACTATTTCGAACCGTGACAGAAAATAACGGACACCTCAGGGTTAGTAAAATGCTTCAAACAAACGCAAGTCTAGGACAGGAAACGACGTCGTGCATCTCTGATTTCGAACCATTCGCTCATGGATATATTAGGTTGGTGCAAAAATAACGACGTAAGAATGTCGTTTTTTGACGTTAAAAATACGTCAAAAAACGACATTATTACGTCATTATTTTTGCACCAACCTAATATAAACCACGGACATTTAGACGATGACAACAATGTGTATGTTTGTTTATGTGTGTGCTGGTATTTATAAGTAATAGTACGTATGTATATATCTGCTTTTATGTGTTCGTATGTGTGGATAGGAAGCATGTGCATGTGAATATGCAGCATATGCTTCGTGTACCGGTATATGTGTATTTGAGTGTTTTATTTTATTTATTTTATTTATTTATTTATATTTATTTATTATTCATAATTTATTATTTATTATTTATAAATTTATCTTATTTATTTATTTTATTTTATTTATTATTTAGTAAATTAATTTTATTTTATTTATTTATTATTTATAATTTTATTTATTTTTATTTATTTATCTATTTTATTTTATTTATTTATTATTTAGTAATTTATTATTTATTATTTATAAATTTATTTTCTTTATTTGTTTTATATTTTTTTATTTATTTATTTTATTTATTATTTATTAATTTATTGTATTTTATTTTATTTAATTATTATTTATTAATTTGTTATTTATTCATTCTTAATTATAAATTTATTAAGTTTATTTACTTGTTTTTATGTATTTATTTATTTTTATTTATTTTATTTTAGCTAGATTTGACCGTAATTTGCGTATCACTCCGAAACTATATATATATATATGTGTGTGTGTGTGTGTGTGGTGCGCGTGTGTGCGTATGTGTGTGTGTTTTTTGGACACTCGGAGCCGAAAGGTGCAAATGGTGTTGGCTTCTATATTTTAT